CACGTACACTGTCCGTACTACCCTTAGTAATAGTAACAGGGTTGACAAGAGACAGTATATATATAAAATGCTAATTATAGTTTACAGTTTGTTAATGGTTTTATTCTAAAAAAAATACAATTCAATTTAAATTAACATTGGTACACCTTCATAATATGACTGTGTGTCAAGAGTATACAATCATTGATATTATAAATTTCAGAAGTAAGAATAGGAACACAGATGTTCTACTTAAAAATCGATACGTTTATAGGTTAACCGAGTTTCATATGAGGGATAATAGCGACTGTACATCGCGTATTGTTTTTAGTCGACAGCGAGCTCTACTGCACACCACGTCACAATACAGGGTTAGCGCAATGTAATAACGTTTTGTTATTTCTCTTTTGTGATAAATTTGTTACAAGTTTTATATATGACAGAATGAATGTTTTTTTTAATTATCAGTAGAGTCTATGCTGCAATGTACGAGTATCTTATTTACATCGAATGCCCGATATTTCGGCTCTGTTGCAAGCGCCACGGTCATGGAGTAACTCAAATCTTGCGTGGTTCAAAATAAATAACAAAACGTTATTAAGTGTTTCCATAAAACTTAAATTAAAGATAGATGTAAAAGGACCTCGTCCTTTTACGTTCGAATCCTGTCCCATTATTCACTAAGATCTCCCACAAATAACTATTATTCTAATGTCTAATGTTAAGGAATGCCTTTTAAATAAACTGTACATCTTCAATGGCTTAAGTGGCTGAGAATTTTGACATTAAGTTTTTTATTTGTTATATTACAGGCAAATAAAGATTAAATAAATAAATAATAACAACATATTTTATAATTGTTATTTTTGGTGTGTTTTTTAAAGTAATTCATTTGTAAGTTTTTCATAAAAGTTTTCATAAAATAAGAATATTTACTCATTGTTTATAAATGAATGATGATATAAAGATGTCTCAAAAATGTTATTTCTTTTAAAATTTTTAACGTTCCGAATGTGAAAATTATTGAAAAAAATATTTTTTTATTATTCAGTGTAATGATCTACTTAAATATTGAATTTTGTTAATCAAATAAAATCCAATGAATTGCTGACATCCCTAGATCGGCCAGTCACTCAATGGGAGGGTTGCATCCCTCCATTCGAGTCTGCGGAAACACTGTCTTGTATATTTTACCCATTACACTCTCTTACTCAGCGTTTCTTGCTTTAAATTAAGATTTTAATTCGTTAGTCAGTGCGCTCGTCTCATGTTCCATACAAGTCGTTAGTATCAGATGCGTGTGTGGCTTTACATTATTTATTTGGCAAAGTATTTTTTTTTTAATTATTACAGGAAACACGTGCAATTTCGATCACTGATAGTTTAGCTTTAATAAAATAAATGGGTAATATCTGACAAAAGTTCCCTGGCAATTCGGTGGCACCCTTAATTATTTTATTTATGCTAGCCTTAATTTTTGATTTTTAATCACAACCAGTATAAAATCAAAAATAAATTATTTCATTAATGACCAAAAAAGTAAACAGCATATCGTTAATTGCGTGCTTTATATAAGATTTTATATTTCTAGTGAGAAAAAAGGAACCATGAATTTAATTAAGAATAATTTTCTCAAGTTCACCAAATATAAATTTACAAGTACATACAATGCTTAAAGTTATATTGCTTTTCTAGTTTGTTTATGGAATTATATTTTACCGTTATCTCATCACGAACTGGGAGTTTTTCTTAACTGAATATTTTTAATTATGAAATGCTAAATATTAAATAGTAACGTTCCTAATAATATACTTCCAACATGTTTGTAGTTCGAATGAAAGTTTAGTTATTAAGCTTAAGAGTATTTTACCACATTAATCGTAATAAGTTCCAAAGCTTTTAAGTAAGTGAAATGATTATGTTACATAATAATTTCACTTTAAAAGCTTTGTGACTCAATACATAGTCTTAGCCATCCTATATGAAGTTTTTATTATCATTAATAATAAAATGTCCATACTTCTATGTAATCAATTAAAGTTTAAGATTTCAGTTTGGTTATTTTTTAACAATAAAACTTAATATATTAATGAATGTACACTTACTTGCTAATAAATACACCATATAGCATGTATGTAAAAAACGACCGAGTCAAATTTTGTGCTTGAATTACACCGTGAGTATACACAGAACTCGATCACGATTATTATGACGATTTTTTTATCGATGAACACGTAACTTAGCTCTCATTGCACTTTTGTGTACGATGTTTCAAGGATATTAATTTTAAAAATACTTATATTTGTCTAAATCAAAATGATAGTGAAGGAAAAGATAGAGTATGATAATAAAGGTTCAAATAAATAATGAAACTGCACCGTTTCATCTTAAACACAAGTAAAATGAGATAATGAATCGCAAGTGTGTAAACGACTTTATTTTGTTTTCATTTCAGAAAAGAAAGTGGAAGGAAGTAAAATAAAAATATATATTTCATTTTTTAAATCTAAATGTAAAAATACCTTTTGCAAGCCCTACGGCAAAAAGGTCCCGTCGCGAGGGTTACCTCGGCGTGTCGGCCGAGCGAGGCATGCGGAACTGCGCCACGTATTATGCTCCCACGACCTTCCGTAAGAGGCTTACATTTCTTACTCCTTATATTTTATTTACCCTCCTATCTTTTCTCGTCGTTAAACAACTTATGGGAGCTACTATGAAAAAGGCGTAAAATACTTGAAACGCGTTAAAGTTTGCTATATTTAATTTGATCTTATTTTTTTACTTCATTGAATTTTTATTTTATATCGCCGGAAATAACATTAAAAAGTGAATAAAATTTATTAACTTTGGCTTGTGTGTTTCTTGAATAATGTTTGTTACATTAAATTTCATTCTATAAGATTCATTACTTGTTAATTAGGTTATGCTTAATAGTTCCGTAGATGACTTGAATAAATATAAATTTGTAACAAATTTTCAATTGATATTTGTTAATAAAGCCAATGAAATTTATATTTACAAAAAGAGACTGAATGTCTGTTTAATTTAATATACAAAGTTTATTTTAATAAAATAAAGTAATTTCTGTATACAGGATTAATTTTGCATTAAAATAGTTTCAAATATTTATCTTAGACAAAAAGAATGACACATCTCGCACACACGGGACTGATGGATTTTTGTATAGTTTCCCTTAAGATTAATATCAATATATCATTGTGAATGTAAAATTGATCATTATAATAATTAAATTTAAAAATAAAAAGTAATTAAAAAATAAAAATCGGTCTTAATAAACGAGATGGTCACTGTGTTCTGCTTATGTTTCAAAGTTGCTTTGGAGTGACTTCAAAGTATTAAAAGTTTCCCTTCGTTGTTACTTTAGGTGATATGAATAAAAATATAATATCGTACAAATCATTTGGTGTAGTAGAACGCAATAAATAATTTGGTCCGATCAGATAGCGAGCCGTGGTTGAGTGGAAACAATTTGAGGATTTTATCAAGATGGGCTTGCGTGTGCATGGCTGCGGGCGTTACGTGGAAAATTATTAAACACCTGCATAGTAAGCTACGTGATAAAATAGATTGGCACTTGTTCAATTATAAATAAGGTAGGTTATTGTTAATTTGATTCGTGTAATTACTGAATGGGTTAATTTTTCCAAATAAATCATATTTCTTTTATGCATTTCGAAGTTTACTTCCTTGTAGTCAAATAAGGATAAATTGTGTATCTCACGTGGGAATTCATTTTTATATTTTTAAATAAAGATATTAAAATGTATTACTTTTTGATTGACTTATTATTAAAAGCAACATTATTCTCATGAAAAGTAACGATTACAAAGATATTTTGGTTTTAAAAAATTCCGGATAATCATCTTTGGTCCAAAGATCAAAATTAAACCCATGAATAGTTATGTTTTCGAAGCCATGACTTATCTTCGTTAAAAATAAGGAATTTTTGCATTATGACCACGTAACTTCACTAAAACTGATGCAATTCTTTATAAAAAGCAAGTAAAATAACATTTTAGCGATTTTAAATAAAGTAAAAATACCACGATGTTTAATGCCAGTTGCAGGTTTCCTGTTTGTTTTATTGTAAAATAAAAAATAAAAACATTAAATGTTATAAAAAATTGAATGCAGACTACCTAATTTATTAACTTCCTTATATTTTTCTGTTACTTCTGTTACCTAATTATATTTCTATTTAATCTTAATTACTATGGTCAGTAACTCCTAGAAATAAAAAATAATCATCATCATATTGACTGCAATTTTATATTTTTAGCAGAAATATGTTCTTATTTAGCTAATAAAAAATATAAGGCATAAAGTTAAGTTTTTATTGTTGTCTATTGTTAGAAGAATAAATTTAAAAAACAGCTGAGGTTGTGATAGTTTAGGTAAATAAGGTAAAATTAAGTTTTTGGTCGTATTAAAAGATATCAATACATTATATTTAATATAATTAAGGACAATTCATGATTATCCTTAATTTTAGAGCTGTTCAAAATAGAAATGTTTTGTCCTGAATTAATAAAGAATCAAATAAAATCCAAACACAAGATGCACACATGCAATTCACCACTTAAAAATTCGTCTCACACATACAATATCTAGATTCATTGTGTTTGATAATATAATTGAAAGCATATCGTGAAATGGTTTTACGAGCGTGGGATTTGTGCGTAGACGTATTATTATTATTATCTTGAAATTTCTTGAGTTTTTCACGTCGAATACACTGCTGAAATAAACTTCCGTTGTCTTTATGTAGAGAAATACACTTTTGGAATTATAAAATACGCCAAACACGTATCGAACTATTTGCTTCGATAAAGAAAACAGCTCACAAAACAATTTTTAAGTTATTTAAAAGCGTCGACTTACCACACAGGTCGGACTAGGGCCGACATCGCTATAAAATTAGATGAGTCCACATCGCGCACTAAAGTTAATATTTAAAACACGCTCTCACTTAAAAAAATAAAAATAACGGCACAGCACTTTCAGAGAGCACTACTGGTTTGGTTTATTGCGGGAAGATGTAACGCATCTCGACCGTAGCGCGACGCGGCTCCGTAGTGGGTTTGTGAAAGTTTGTCGACGGCTGTACTACGGTGGGATGCCGGTGAGCGTAGCGAGCGTCGCGGTGCGAGCGAGCGGGGCGCGATTCGCGGACTATGCGGAGGCCGAGGTGAGCGAGCGGGCGCGGGCCGGAGGATGCGCGCGCACGCGAACGCCCACCCGCCCCGCCCCACACACCCGCAACCTATTTATTTCTAGTTACGTAAAATTTACGCGCAATACCCGATACTGCATTTAGCTTATGTTACGATTACTGCATATAATTAGAAAGGATTTCATTTAGATATATTACATTTAGCTTTTAACTGTTTCAAACGATTGTACTTCCTAAGAGCACCGCCCTTCTCGTAAAAACCACACACGATTCGTTATTACTTCTCAGACGTATGTACAAAATATCGACGCCCTCTTGGGAGCATCTAAGTGAAAAGCTTTTAAGAGTTTTGGCATATCTTAAATAGAAGGTAGACCTGTCCTCATTAAATGCCAATCAACGATGTCATGAATAAGTGTATCATGAACCTGAAAAAGGTGTCACCTTCGTTCGCCTCAGAGGCGATGTCAAAATTTGCAGACGAGTTTTTTCGACCACACGTGAAGCTATCGACGTCACTTAAATGAAGTGAATAAACGCGTCGGAGGGTGCCTGCTGTCTATCGTCCCTTCGATTTTCATATTGACTGTACATTAAAAAAGAATAACATAACCCAGAATTTCATTCAAGCATTAACATATCTGGATCTTTATGAAGTTTAGATAGGTATAATTCAAACTACTGGGAGTATAGAACAGGTAGTATGAATTAAAGCAAAAGTTCAATAAACTGTGTCGTCACAATCAGCTGTTCGAGCCGCGAGCGCAACAGACAATGCGATTAAGATCTACGCAGGACAACTTTCGCCGGCGCGCCGAGCGGCAGTTAGTTGTTATGAAAGAGAGAAATTTGTAAATTGTTGGCGCCCGAGTTCGCGAACTCCGTCGAACCGGAGTTTGTTTTAAGAGTCCAACCTTGAAACAAGAAGAAAAGTAGTCCTGTAAAACAAAGTTTTGCGGCCGCCGTCGCCGGCGCAAGCGGTTCAAGGATTGTGCCCGAACTGTCTGTCTGTACAACTTTACCGATTAAAAGCTCAAAAGCTTCCAAAGTCATTTTAAAAGTTTATCTGTACGCGGGAACGAGCGGCGCGGTCGGAGGGGCGGCGGAGCGTAGGCGCTAGGTTTGTTATCATACCACCGCAACGGTTTAGTTGGGGCCTAGTTTTACTTATTTATAAATAGGCTAGAAGACGGGTGTTCACCAATCGTAGGCCTAACTGTCATAGTGGCCGGCTACCGGGCGCGAGTGGGGGACACATGTTCGCCGAATAGTTGCTAACGTACACACTAAGTTCCTAGACCCTTCGCCACTTTGTTTTACAGCTGTTCCACTTAGCGAACTATGCCTCGAGTTGGGCGCGAGTTCTTGCATGTGTATCGGCGGCACACATCCGTATCCGAATAGTTTCATAAACATAACCCAACTTAGTTTTGGACGACTTTTCAAAGTCAATGCATACTAACTTTCGATGTCTGCGAGTGCGATATTACGATTGGATCACTTCGCGGGTGACTTTAATGCATTCGTTTGTTCCGAACTTTGTTTTATTGGATCAAACTTCGCAACGAGGTTAAGTTTAAGTACCTTCATTTACCCTCCGTTATTAAATCATTTGACTTAGTTTAGACATTTTGATTTCGTTTATGTAGGTGACTGATTATTTCGAAATATTATAATATACTTGCATATTAAGTTTTTTTTATACAAAAACGGATTTAAATACCCGTAAGTAGAAATAATAAAGACTATAAAATAGGAAAGTTTAGTTGAGATTCTATTAAGATGCAATTATTACGTTAATATTAACAGAATAGGCACCTGCAGTGCAGTTGTGAAGGAGTGGCTATAAACATGAAATTGGAAAGACTAAATTGAGAATAAATTTATTTATTGCAAAAAAAAATATTCCATGACGCAGATAATGCAAATAGATAACAGAAAATATCATAAATTTTAAGAACAAAACTGCAAATGTGAAGCGAATCAAAGAATTAAAAATAATTATCGACAAACTAAATCTTATTAATATTAATTAATAAATATTATATTAATTAATAAATCTCATTCTTAATTATTGTATGAATGCTTTGATTATAATGTGAACCTATTGTACCTGATGACTATGTTTTTCTATTTTTTATGTATTTTAATTTTTTGACATTTTCTTTCATATAAATTCAGACAATTTATTGTATATTGACTTTAATATTTGCACATCGTCTTGACGAGGCTCAGGCCGTTCTTATGGATGTTTAAGGAGAGTGGGTAATGACATGACCAACCTTGCTGGCCCAATGCGAATGAGTATTGACGACTGGAATTGCAGCCAGGACCAACGGCTTAACGTGCTATCGGAAGCATGACGTAGCTCGAGATAATAATTTTTTGGTCACCCATCCCGTGACCGACCTTTACGAAAGTTCCTTAACAACAACGATCGTGGGCCGCAGCGCTTAGCCTCTACGCCATAGAGCTACTCGAGGGACTGGTGGGTGTAAAAGACAAATAATCAATAGATTTAGCCGGGATCAATGTATTAATGTGCCTTCCGAAGCACGGAAGAGCTCGAGAAAATAAATTTTTGGTCATCCTATGACCGGCGCTTGCGAAAGTCGCAAACCGAGCGAGCTAACCACTGCGCCACCAAACTTTTAAAATCAAAGATTATGTGATGATTGTTTATAATAAGTAAATATATTTTAAATAAATGGCAATAATGTTTTAATTTTATTTTCATATACCTATAAGTGTCGATCTCTGACAAGCAGAATGATAATAGGTTTCGTAATGTTACCATTTATCAGTAGCATTGTTTCCTAATGCCTGTCTAATTAATGTAGAACACCTACTAACTTTAATTAGCAACTGTAAACTGGGTTCTTAAGTATGTAGGTGTGTTTGTTTCGCAGTTGGTGAAAACAAACGATATTTCGTAATCTTTGGCAAGATTTGCAGATGAACCAAGATGACCGACATAGCCCAAAGAATTGCAAGCCTGAAGTGGCAATGGGCAAGGTACATAGCTCGTAGGACAGATGGCCGTTGAGGCAGTAAAGTCGTTGAGTGGCGACCACGGCCTGGAAGGTGGAGCGTATGCAGGATAGGCCGATGATCTGGTCAGGATTACTGGGAAGCGTTGGATAAGGACCGCCCGTAACTGATCGACGACGTGGTCATTTTTGAGGGAGATCTTTGTCCAGCAGTAAACGTTTTCCGGCTGAAATTATAACGACGGTGATTTGGCAGAGTAAGATACAGAATACTCATTTATTTTGGTCGATAAACGGTTATTTGTTTAAATCATAATTCACGCATGCGATCCTAATCGACCTTAATAGTTAATTAACCCGTGTCTTATTTGGTTAGCGCTGTTTGTTTGAAGAAAGTAGAACTAAGACGAGTTATATTCATCATAGCTATTCAAGAAAAATAAAATATCTCAGCGGCTCCATTTCCAGTCAGTACACAGGTTAATCATTTCTGTATGTCTATAACACAAGGCTATACCCATAAATTACTTATCTATAGGTACTAATATATAAAGAGAAAATATTTGATTATATCGAATAGGCTTCGAAACTATTGGACCGATTTTAAAAATTCTTTCATTTATGGGAAGCTATTAATACATCAGGCTAAAATTTACGCGGGAGAAGTCGCGGAAAAACAGCTAGTAATTTATTTAAACCCTCATTCATCATCAAGTGATTTTTGTAATATTAACTAGTATTTATATTATTTTTATTTCCCTATTATACAATGTAAATGTTTAATACTTATTTTATCTTCATAATCAATAGTCATTTAACAAATAAAATGTAATTTAAAAATTTAGGCAAGAGTGACTCCGAGGTTACCGCGCATCTTTTTTATTCCTCCAAACCAAGCCAATATATGCTTTAAATTTATTAACGAACGTAGGTCATCAACTTACATATGTGTAACTTACATTTAGTATGTTCAGTAGTTTCATAGAAAATTGCGAAGACGTCACAAAATTTCCAATAGAGAGAATGATATTTTAAAATAATTTTAAATAAGAATGGGTAATAACATTGAGAGATAGTTTTCTAAAGTTAAGATTTTGATTTATTCAGCATCTATCTACACATATACATTCATAAAAACAGGTAACATTGCGTAGTCGTAACGAGTTTAGTACATATATTTTGTGAGATGAATTCATGATGGAAATCAGATACTCGCAAGACACATGGTGCAATGACAAATGTCCGCCAGCCATTTGCGATCTTAACATTATTTCTATTGCTTATTCCTCCCTAGGGGGCCTTTAGAAAACGACGAAGAACGATCTATGCTCATAATCAGAGTAATTACCGAAATCTCGTCGGAAAGTCACGATCAACAGCCGGCGTAGATAAAGCTGCTAGCCTCCAAGCGGTAGACGATACCGCAAACATAAAATGATATACCTCACCCCGTTTTTATTGTATCCAATTTATAGAAAGTGGGGTTGCAGCGAGAAGACTGAGGGGTCTGATATATTTGGTCGCGAAGTACGTGTTATCTTGGTTCGCCAATAAGTCAGACAATAATTACGCGCGCGGGATCACGCTCCCCCGCACATATTTATGCGCGCCACATAAATTCATAAATATAAACGCGCAAATATGTAAGCGCGACAATTGCAGTACTGGCAATAATCGGTGCCTCGGGCTGTGCGTTTCAAGTTGCTTGAGATAGCGAGGTTTACATTAAATAATAATAAACCAGGAATGGTTAGTGTTCTTTGCGTTTGTGTCTAGAAAGCTCTTAAGTTCACGATATTCTGATTGTGTCTGGTTACAATTTTGAAAGTTTCGATAGTCCCACTTACCCTTTTGAAGTGGAGGGACGGAATAGTTTGTGCGTTATCTCTCCATTGTCTCGTTCCTGTAACAAATATAAATAAATTTTTAATCTTTTTTTGAGACAAATAAAAGAACACTACATATAAATATACGGTTTCTTTTCAAACTGTCGTTGAGAATATACAATGCGTTGAGTTTTTATGTCTTTATTCTGTTCATAATTTCACTTTCTGTAAATCAGTTTTAAAAAGTTTCTATTATTCTTTTTTCAAAGCAACAAACCTCTAAAACCCGGCAGCACTAATTATAGTTTTCGATATAGTTCGATTGTGTTCCGTTATTCAATATTGACAAACAAAGGCTAATAGAGGCTTAATAACGTAAGCATTGGTTTAGTATTGTTAAATTATGTTCACGTGCTCCTGAACGTTTCAAAATGCGATTTTAATTGATCTAAAGAAAGCGGTCATCAAATTATTTAATAGAAGGGTTGACAAAAAAGGATTATATTCATGGTCTGTAATTATGGTGTACAATAAAGAATTTATTCATTCATAATATTTATGTGGATACCTAAAATTTGTACATTATTCAAAATATATGATTTTTTAAACCTTATACTTAAAATCAGGAGTTCAATCGCGCAGTAGTTGCTGCAGAAAATAACAACGTTTCCAAATACCTGTCATAGGATTGGTAATCAAATATTTATTATCTTGAGGTCCTTTTTGCTTCGGAAGGTATGTTAAGCCGTTGGTTGCTGACTGCGTCTGCAGTTATTAACACTCATCAAGGCACACGGGGCCCGCGTGGTAGGTCGTTCTCCTTATTCTATTTGATAGAGTTTGTGCTCTATCAACGGACCATTAATAGGACAATGATGAATTTAAAACAAGAAACACGATTGTTTAAATTGACATATACACGGTTATTTATATTGAGTATGCATGTCATGTTACAAATTTATAATTAACAAGAATATGTTTACACGCAGTTCGTAACTGCACAGTATTTTAGTATAAATATTATTAAAGTAAATATCAGTAAGAAATTGATTTATTTGATATAACATACTTTAATGCTAACCTTACATTAGATGCATGTCAACACATGTTTAAAATTTACATATAGGTACGCAACAAATCGGTACGTTAATTCGATTTTAATATGTAGCTCATAGAGCCCCATTCTGGCAGTAATTGATACGAACGATACCTTGGCGTCTAATACCCTTCATTATTT